AAGGAAATCTTTAAAAATAAAGCACTGCTATGATTCTAGATATACTCATTAAGGAAACTGAAATAAACTCCAAAAAGAAAAACACATGCAGAGGAAATAACACTGCAAAAGCCAGAAACCAGATTTTCCTGCAGGTTAGATCATGGGTAGGTTACTATATTACAAATCTGTAAAAGGCTTATTTGAAAATTATTTTGCCTGCTGTCAGACAGCACAGTTATCTCAAATCTGATCTTGGTTGTAATAGAAAATTGTGTAATATAGTGCTTCCTGGACTAGAGATAGAGAGGTTTTTTTTCAGAGTTGGCAGCTTGAAATGAGGAAGATAGGACTAGTTTTGGAAGTTACTCTGTGGAAACATACAGTTGAGCAGACCAAAGCTTCACGTCACCATCCCAGCACTAGTGAAATGGAGGTCAACACAGAGCTTCACAAAGGGGTGGCCCTTGGGTTGCCAATAGGCAGGGTGATGCTGGGACATGACCACACCAGGAGCTCCTGTGGCTGCAGATAGCAATTTTAAGAGACAATAACGGTCTTCACTGACCTCCAGCCTGCCATGGAAAGGCAACTTCAAGTACCTAAGATAGTTCATTTAAAGCTCATTAACTTGTACTACATTGAACAGTATAAAGTGCTCTGATCTTATGCTTTGTAAAACAGCACAGATTTCTATCTCTGTCAATAATCTTTCTTTTTTTAGATATTAGCAGACAAAACATGTTGCAAGCAAAACCTAGCACATCCTTTGCACCACCAAGGAGACCATGGGTGATGACAGCAGTAAAAACTTGCACACAGTGAAAAGCTTTTATTTTGGTATCCTTGTTATTATGTGTGATGCAAGGCTAAACGGAAGTGGTTATTACAATGTGTGTGTTCACAGTCTTGTTCACATCTTGACCCTCCACTGCGCTTTGCCCTTAGATGCCTCCAGAAACTAAATGGTTCCCATGGTCCTTTAACAGAGGCACCAGTTTCTGTGGTAGTCCATAAAACGGTCTGTGGGAATGGGTGTACTAGCTTGTGACGATATTCAGCTGTCTGAAGTAGCCTGATTTCCTAGCAGCTGAGTGAGTACACTTTGGTCAAAGACCATGGAAAGAACATGAGAGCAGACTTGGGTTGTCCTCACCCCCCTGGGGGAGGCAACCAACCTAGCCTGAGAACCACTAATGAAATGGTGGCTGATGAAAGGGCAAAGACAAGGACTCAGAGAAAGGACCGAGAGGAAAACTTTGTCGAAATAGCTCTGCTTACTACAGACTAAAATGGCAAATAAGTGCACTGTTAGAACTGATTGGCCTTCAAATCTGTGGAGCAGCTTCTTTCAGAGGACACCTCCCTTTCGTTCCACTACAGTTACTGGAACTGCCCTGAGGGTCTGGCCCGTGCCTTTGCTAAAAAGTAATTACTTTTCATATTTCTACCCTTTTTAAACCACAACATGAAAACTTGAAAGCTTTCAGCACAGAAAAGTTATTGGGTGAAATCCTGCCTCATGAGAGTCAGTGGGAGCGTAACCATTCCTTTAAAATGGCCAGGGTTTGCAGCACATATGGCTTCATACACATATGGCATTTTGCACATTGCTGCGATTTAGTTTAAGTGATAGGGACAGTTTATATTTTGGATATTTTCCAAGCAACAGTGAGGATGGTGGTGGTGAATACAATTTGGACTATGCAGGGTTTTCAGCCTCCCACTGATCCCTTCCACAGGGGCTACAGCATTTATGTCTGAAGAAACACTTGGGACCTGAAACAAACCTTCTGTTTGGCAGCTCTTTTGGAGAGGTTATTGAGCCAGCGGTGCTGGAGACACACAGCCCCCTTTAGCCTTCTTCTAGGGAGAAAGAAAAAAGAAAGATTATAGGAAACATTAATTGAGGATCAACCACATCTTATCTCTAATTAAGATAATGGCAAAACACTGCAACATCAGCATATTTAGTAAAGCTATCTGGTAAAGCAGATAAGGCCTGAACAGAGGAGCTTTAAGGATGAAATGAGTTGTTAGGCTGGGTTTTCTCAGCTGAGAACTGGAGAAGATAAGCACCCCACCAGGTGAGCAGTTCCTGTTCTTGCAGTATTTGGAAAGAAAAAAAAAAAGCCTGTGGCCCACGTTTCAGGTATCAGGTGTTCACTGGAGCCCTACTAACAGAATCATGAGCATCCTAAGGATCCTTCTAAAGAGATACGTACCTGTGACAAACTCTCATATTTTTACTATATATGCACATTTATAAGCCTTGTGATAATCTCATGGGCTCTGGGATATTTTCATGAAAATGATACTTCAATTACAATTGTAAAAATTTATTTGATTCTTTTTATTTTCCATTTTATACTACTTCTTGTTATCCTTACTCTGTGTAATAGAAACATCTTTCAAGGACATCACTTTTGGGACACTACTCAGCCCAAAAAACATACCACCTCATCAACAGAGCTACTGCTGTTGTATTATTGTCATAATCTTTGTTCTTTAGTAAGATGATTTTATTAATTAATAATTGGTCTACTAATTCTTAATGACGGCTCTAATTCAAAAGGCACCTTGAGACATACGTCCTAGGCACTGCAGCTGTTATTTTATTGAACACTGATGCGCTTTGTTTGCAAAGAATGAAGGGAATATTGTGCTTCAAATGCTCTAAATTTTTTGGAACCTGCTTAAACTGAGCTTCTTATTAACCAGTTTGGGCTGAGTTAAATTCAGCCAACGACAAACTCATCAACAGTCTGAATCTTCCAAACTTACTGGCTCCTTAACAGAGGAATAATCGCAATTATTTAAAATTATGTTGACCCTCCAACTCAGCCAAATGATTTTTTTTTCCACTTGAAAAAATAACTGCTTCTTTTGTGTTGATGGCTAAACTGGCTATCTTCAAAGGACAAGAAAATGCCTAAGTAGAAGCACATGCACTGGCTGAGGTTCTAGGCTCTACCAGGAAGGGTATCATTTGGGAACAGGTAGGAAAAAATCTAAGATCACTTATATGGTACCTCAGGATGCCGTGAAAGGACTTTTAAAGCAGTAAGCAGAACCACCCCAAACTAGAAAATTCCCAGGTTAAACATACAGTTATTCAGTGCTTATTTTGTAAATGGTCTTATTTTGCTAAGAAGTGGATCCACGGCACAACACACAACAATTGCATGACCCTACATTTCTTGCCAAACATGCAAGGACCCATGAGCAGATGTGAGCATGCAGACTATAACAACTAAGTAGCCACTAAGTAAAAGCAAGTAGACACATGGCTCACAGTGGCAAAAAATCCAGCAGCAGCACAGACTCAAACACAGATGCATAAAAAAGCAAATAGCGATGTAGCAACACAAAAAGAAAAGTGCAGTTCAACAATGCACAAGGATATTTAAATTTAGAGACCTGGAGTCTGCAGTGGAGCTTGTGGTCTGATAACCATGGATGTTTTAAGGCAGCAGTTGCACTTATTCTCCAGCTAAAGGAAAACCAGAAAGCTATTAAGTGTTTTTTCCCAGAATCTTACCATTCACCTGGACATGTTCTGCCATGCTGTAATGCTGTGCCTGAAGGCCCCTTTACGCCAGATCACAGCTAATGTATGAAATAGGAAAGGAATTTCATGTACATTATGAACAACATCAATAAGGTGGCATTCCAATATTCTTCCTGGACATACAACAACATAGGTAAGTCTCTACAGTTGGGAAATGGAGCAGTACGAGTGACACCTCTGTGACGTTATGACATGAAATGTGCATTTCAAAAATAAAGGGATTATATACCATTTTTCCTTGATGAGAAGCTTTGAGATGAAATCTTTGGCCTCATCAGAAACATCTCGAAATTCCTCATCTTCAAAATTCCAGCTACAAGCCAGGATATTATTCAGAGTCTCATTGTCATCATCACCCAAAAAAGGAGACAATCCACTCAGCCTAAATTAAAAAGAAATATGTTTACTCCCCCTGCCATTATCTTTTCCTGTACACGATCTCTCATGTTCCATCTAAGGTTGTTCTCTTATTCCTGGCACTACTTTGCAGCATGTTACTTGCTAAGAAAGTCTCCAGACCATTCCCATGGTCTTTTAAATAAAGAAGTCATCATCCTTCTTTCCTCTAAATTAAACAAACAGAGCATTACTATTTTCTATGGCAAGTCATATTTTCTAGACCTCTGATCATTCTTGAAAATACCTACTGGGAACTTTCCAAGTGATCAATATTATTCTGGAAATGCAATGCTCAAGCGCTCATGAGAGATGTGCAATGAAACAGTAAAAGTTCCTGGTGATTGGAAGAGGGGATCAATTCCTGAGAATATGGAAAGAAGCCCATGTTTTCTAGTTTAGGTTCAAACTTTGTTAATCTTCCAATGTAATAACAAATTTGGATGACTGACACATTTCAACACAGAAACAGTTTACATAGAAGAGACTGAACGCTACTTACAGCATATAAGCAATGACCCCTACACTCCACATGTCGGTAGGAAAGGAAACAAACTCGTAATTCACAACTTCAGGTGCAAGGAATTCTGGAGTCCCGAAGTTAACTCGAAGTTTTTCTCTGGGTTTATATCTAGGCAATTAACAGAGGACATCAATTAGAGCTCTAATTTGAGTTGTATCATAAGTTATGACAAACTTTACAGGATTTCAGAAACATCCGGAATTTTCAGAAAAAAAAAAAAACACAAGGATATAAAGAGGTACAAAGTAAAATATATATATACCCATACATATGAATGAAAAATGTTTGCAAGATTTATTTTATACTGTAGACTTAAACTAACCACTACACAATAGGAGACAGGAAGAAATTCAGATTTCAAGGACTCCTCAGGACAGCTGTTAACATTTTAACAGGCCTGGAAATTTAACCAGTAAATCCTTCACTAAGGTTATGATATCTGACTAAGATAGTAAATGACATAGCATGGGTTATATCCTCACAGCGCCTGATGGTGCCTTAAACCCTCTCTTGAAAAATCTCGTAACTTTGGAGGCAAGACACCAGACAAGACTGACCACTGGTTTTGTCTGTCCTATCGATCCCAGTATGCCTGTGTGCATGACCAAGCAGAATCAGCCCTCTTTCAACTTTCCAGCTGAAAAAAATCTTCAAAACTCATACTTTTTACTCAGCATGAAACATTCCTTACTAAAAGATACCCCAGGTTAAAAAAGGGGGTAAAAGAAGGGGTTAAAACAAATTAAACTTGTTCCAAGAACAGTGGAAGGCTGTTGTATATCAAATGTGTCATTGCAGAGATGTAATACCTTTTTCATCGTTTCCTAATCCATTTACTTTTAGCAAGATCACATGCACGTACCTTCTTGCCAATCCAAAATCAATAATTTTTATTTGATTTGCTGCTCGGTTCACACAAAGGATATTCTCAGGCTGCCAAGAGAAAGCAGAAAATACTTTAATGAGAAACAAGAGTGACAAACTGGGCTTTTAGTAAACTGTAGAGGAAGAAAATACTACAATCACTGCAAGCATTTCAGAAGCACCTTTTGCTTTCCTCCTTAGGCACATTTCTCTGCATGGTACTTCTCCCTGATGTCACATGGTAGATGACGTTGTACGTTTTGTGCTTTGTAGCTGCTTTCTCTTCTTAGCTTTTCAGTTTGACGTAAGGCAGCAGTTTAGATAAAGAGCTCATTAGAGGGGAGAATGCAAGCTTCCAAAGAAGGTTTAAAGATGCTGGCACTGTGATTTTACAGACCTTAATGATCTGACATTGGATCTTTTTATATTTAAAGGTTTTTCTGGGCTTTGAAGTTTATCTTACAGCCTTAGGTTTGTGAGTTCATGGATATTCTGGCAGTAACTGTCTCATTCAACACTGAGTGATATAGGGTAGTCATATGACTTTACATTTTGCTCATATACTTTAGTGAAAGGTGGGATTCACAGGTTAAATCCCCATGGGCTTCCATTGGGCCAAATGCTGCTCTGCACCTCCCTGGCAGGAATCCATTAGCTTCCACAGAATTACTCCAAATTCATACAGAAGTGACTGAGAACAGATTTAGGCCAATTGTCTTTGAAATGTAAATACGTAAAAGAGAGTCTCATATTCACTGCCAGCAGTTTTATAGCTACTCTGCCTTGTTGCTTGTTGAGTCCTCTTTGAAATAAAACAGCCCTCAACACTTAAAACATTAGTTAACCTTTGTCACCATTACTAATTCATTTTACATGTAGGACTCTTAAACACCATATGTCCATAGTTTTTTGTGGTCTTGGACTATTATGGTCAGGATGAATTTCTTTCAGTTTCAAGATTCCTTCCCCAAACTCATCCGTTACTGACAGCAATCCGTGAACAAGCAAATCCGAAGAGAGGAGCCCTGTTGGCTAGCATGTGAATGGAGAGGTCTCTGGGAAGGATTGCTTGGAGGTGTACGTGTCCTTCTGCTCACATTTTGAATTCATACTCAAGCTGTGCCATCTCCAAGAACAAAACACACTAGTCCCAGGGGACTGTGCAAACTTCTGCTTGACGGGTTTCCAGGTAACTGGGTATTTATAAAGAAAAAGAAATGTGAATCTGGTCACTGATTAGCAACTGAAGCAGATTCCAACAGGTGTTTGTTCATTTGCTTAAGTTCAGTAATATATAAACCATCAACATTAAAAATGTACTATTTTAACTCAGTTATTACATGCCAAAAACAGCATTGGTAATAAAAACCTCGCCAAAGAGAAAACCCTCCTGTGCACATTTGCTTATTTTTGCTTTGTTGTGAAACTCAGGGATCATCATGAAGTTTAATAGCCAGTGATAAAACTAAAGACATCATCCCTTTTTATACTGACACTAAACAGAGGTTAAGAAGAAAGTCTAATATCTGATAAAAACTTGGAGAGGGAGAAAGGCCCCTTCTAATGCGCAGTCTAATGAAAAAATCTTTTCAACAAATGTTTTTTGAAGGGTGATAGTCAACTGTTACCAATCAACTAGCAGGAGAATGTGCAACTAGTTTTGCTTTAAAAAAAAATGAAGTGGCTTGTCATGTACATGGCTGCATAGTTCAGACAACTGAGTATCTGATGCAGAATATGCCACCTTTTCTGGGCTTCCAGCTGCACTGGAAGTTGGAAGTCATTGCCTAACTTAACACAGACATTCTGTATTTGTTACATCTGCCACTGGCAATGTTCATTTCTTCTACTTCAACAAGCACATTTTAATGTACTTTCCCTTAAGCTGGCTACAAATTGATGCTTTTTCATGACAGTGATAGAATAACGTAGCTCTCAGAATGGTGTGCTGGGTTTCCACTGACCCTGAATGACCTTGAATTTAGTTTTGCTCATGCCTTGCCCTCTGTTTTGTAAAAAGGGGGATAAATCCCGTCCCCCGCTCCTCGCCCCATGATAGATATATAAAACAGAGATCTGGTGTGGCTGAATTAAATAATACTTGCACACTATCTTGAGATTCAAACAGCAAAATTGCAAATAGCAAAATAGTATGGTCAGCTGTGGGCTTTCTGTAACATCAACTGTCAATACTCCAGAGCTATGAGGTTTGATGAGATGATTAGATGAGATGAAATTAGATGAGATGATGAAATTCTCCTCTAATTTAATTACTCCTCTAGTGACTTAACTGATGTCAATGTGGTCAAAGTAAATACATATTGGTTTAAGGAAATCACAGTAAGGCAAGTACACAGTAAGGCAGTAAGGCACAGTAAGGGAATCTGTTAAACTGTATGACCTACCCCTAGGAAAATTAATTTCTACATTAGAATCCAAGCTGTCATTGCACAAAACATATATCTCAATTCAGTACCTTGAGATCCAAATGAAGAATATACATTTGGTGCATGTACTGAATCCCCTCACAGATCTGTTTTATGAACAAGATGGTATCCATCTCTGTCAAATTGTAGTTTTCATCAATAATTCGGTCAAATAATTCTCCTCCTTCCACACTGTTGAGAGAAAGACAATGAAGTGGTTACCAAGTCCAAATTCAATCTCATGATTTTAGAGGAATGCAGAACATACACTGGCGACCTGTTTAAAATGCACTTACTTTTAATCATTCACAACCAGGAAGAGTGAGGTGGAGCTACAAATTGACATTGTAATCCGATCCAAACCTCCCAAATACTGCATTCTGATGTGTCCTGACTTGAAGTTCTCCAACATGTGAAAGCCCAGTCTTAAAGTGAACAATCTCCCAGTCTTTGATAGAAGACAAAGTCTTAAATTTTAGATATAATGCTCACTTGGACATAATTTTGTATTAGTGAAATTAATGATGCTACATAGAAAACCAAGATAACATTAGAGAAGCTGCATTTAAATCTGTGCTCTCTTCCCTTAGAATTTAACAGGAATATGATCCAAGGGTTCAATGCAAAGCAATCTAAAATCACAATGGAAATAATTTCTTAGTTTCTTGTCCCATTTCATAATGCTTCCCACTTACCGGTTCATATCTAAGTAGAATTTTAGCTTTTGTTATACACAAATATTGTAGACCAAATTCAGAGCAGTGTCCAAAAAATTTCAGAAGAATGAAACTCAGTGTAACTTCGTATCTTCTACCACCTCTTTATATATTTTATTTAGATCTTTTGACTTCCTTAAAATAACATCTATTTGGCCTGACTTTAAAGTAGCTATTTTATGCCTAGCTAACATGACTACCCAGTGTGAAAGACAGTTGAATCCATTAAGACACCCACTGTAAATATTATCCTCAAAACCTAAAGGTGGTTTCTCTCTATTTTAAGGTACCTTTCCATTTGCCCCACAAAACTAGAGATACTGAGGTCTGTTTCTGAACTGACATGATATACCACTTGAAATTGAACAGGAGTTATATAACATAGACCTGTCTTCAAGTGGGGCAGTGGCTTTGCACCATCAGAAGTATCTGACAACAGCACTGCAAAATAAATTGTAAATGATTCTACAGGAAAAAAAAATCTTAATTTTGATTTTTTGATTCCTGGAAACCTCTTTCACATGCTCTTTCCACCTTTAGGCAGCTCCATTTCTAACTTCAGGAGAAATTAAAAAGGGAATGCAACCGCTAGCAAAAGTGGTAAAAAAGAAAGGAAAAGAAAACAACACACTTACTATTCCATGACCAGGACAATGTCATTTTTGGATTCAAAGGCATCATACAGCTGGATGAGGTTCACATGGTTCAGCTGATTCATAACATTGATTTCATTCTTTACCTCATCCTGTAAAAAAAAAAGAGTATTATTGTTTCAGCAGCCTTTATCAAAGAAAGCTGCACAGACTAGGATATTGTTAGTGTTTGAACTGGACACCAACATTATCTTCATGTTTTCACTCCTGGCAAACAGCCTCAAAGATTCCATGCAGTGGTAGATGTCAATCTTAGAGGCACTACTAGACAGAACTCACAGCTAGAGTTGGGGACTGCTTCAGTAATAAACTGGGCCCCTCAAAGTAATCAAGGTAAGGCGAGAGGAAGAGGAAGAGCACACGCAGAGAACAGGTGTGTTCACAGAGACATGGGAAAAGAGAAACGTAGCATAGACTTTGTTTCAACCAGCTCTGGGTATACAAAATGAAGCTGCGTAAAAGAGGTCTAGAACTCACTTTGCCATCAGTGGAAAGAGCTGGGTGCCATGCAACTATTTCAGGCATAGAGTTTAGAATGGATTGAGTCACTCTTTGGAGGTGCCATTGACTGCAAGGAGAGTCTCCACGGCCAACTTAGCCACAGACAGTTGCACTTTAAACATCCACAATTAGCTGAGCTTAATCCCACCCTTGAATACCATTAATGACACAGCTCTCACACAAAAAACGCTAAGCCTACGCATGCTTTTCCTGTGAAAGCGAGACCCAGATGGCCAGAAGGTTTGGAAAACAGGACAAATTCTTCTCATTTGCATTTGTGTTGATGTCAGAAGCCTAGACCGTGCCGGCTACCAGTATCCACCACCAAGTCATTGCTGCAAAGCCTGGAGCATGGTTGGAAGGGAATATGCTATGACACAGCCTGACAGCTGACATCTACTGTTAAAGAAAATGCTGATGAATAGACAGCGGAAAGAAAAATCTAAGGAATTGGGAAAAGCACCACAGAACACCTAAAGAGGGCTTTGGTGAGCTGCGAGCAGTTCAGGAGGAGAAGGGAAGTAGATCTGTAGCCAGTGCTAATCAGTGGGTCCTGTGAATGTGATAGCTTGTGCGCCACTTGGTCATGCTGTGTTCTGTAGCTGAAGAGACAAGAGGAATCCATTGGGGAAGAAAAGACTCAAATCGCACTCTACCAACCTTTTGTTTATCACCTTTGGCTTTTATAATTTTGGCTGCTAGTTTGAGACCTGTTGCTTTCTCTTCACATTTGTGCACTTGGCCAAATCGTCCCCTAGGGAAAAAAAGTGAAAAAAAAAATCATCTAGTGGTGTTTATGTTGGCCCCAATTGTAATCTAAGTTATACACAAAGGAAATTATCCTCTCCCTGGTGGGTTTCATCTGAATTGGTGTGCTGCTATTTTGTTCTGTCAGTTATATCTGGTACTAGTCATGTAAGCACACCAAAATCACACACTGTTCTAGCTGATATTCAACATATATGATTCACTAATACTACATTATCTATACCTACTTTTAACAAGCTTTTTGCTATTTCTTGTATAAAAAGCAAAATAAATAAATAATAAAAATATAACAATAATTAATAATAAATAATATAATAATAATAATAAAATATAATAAATAAATGAATAAATATAAAGCTATTCCTTGTAGCTTTTTAACAAACTACAAGAAATCTCAGGGATGCTAAAATTATGTACTGTCACTCACATGAACAATCTGCCTCTCTCCATCTCATCCTTTTCCTTCAAAGGACAGTTGTGATGAAATGGCACTTACCCAAGACCACACTGCTATCAGAAATGTTGATTCTTAAATTATCTGAGGACTGGAGACCAGAAAACTACATAGCCTGCCAAATTAGCTGACTGATCTAGTTGAAAATATCTATGTATTTTCAGGGATGGTATCCACTAAGGTAAGAAAGGCTACAGTATGTTTGTACTTCCTGCTGGCTGCAATGCAAAGTACTGCAGCATCCTACGAGCACCATCATTAAGTCTGCGGGCAGCTGGCTGGCCTAGAAGAAAACCAAATACAAGTCAAGCCTGATGGTGCCAAACTTGCAGCCAAAATCCACTCACACAATGAAATCAGCCTCCTGTTTTCATCCCTCTCAAACATACTGTTAGAGCTTAGACTTTCATGACTTCAGTTCTAGTGAGGCATGTGGCTTCCATTCCTTCCTGTGGTGCTTGGCTATAAGCTTTTGCCTCGCTTTTCATGTTGATTGGGTTCACTTGACTTACCCTCCCAGGATTTCATTCTTGCTGACATTATAGTAACTGCTGATGCCTGTCCTTTTGGCTGAGACAATCCTATGATCAAATGGTGCTGGTGGAGTGAGATTTTCATCTACAAGAAAAAAAAAAAACAAAGAAACAAAAAAACAAAACATGGATAGCATATGAGTGGTCACAGGTGCTGTTTGTCTGTCTCTTATTTTAAATCTTTCTTTCCTACAGCTAAGCTCACTTAAGAACTGAATACACCTATTGCATATATACATGTCTTTCTCTGTTATTTATCAAGGGTTTTATTCCAGGAGCTCTGGCTCAGAAAACAGGGTGTTTTCTGGTTTAATCTAGGTTTAATAGGGCAGCATCTTCTGTACAAGAGGTAGCAAGAAGCCCTCTGAGCCCCACCCAGATGATGACTGTCAAACTAAGGCAGTGCAGTTTCACACCCAGACAGAGCTTGAGCAATTTGTTTGGAAGTTGTGGCTGCAACCTCTTTTTCTCTAGCTCTTTTTTTTTTTTTTTTGCCTCTGGGAGTGCAGATAGTTAATATGTATTGTAACTTTCTTGTGGGATAGGAAGAGAGACAGCTCTCCTCTAGGCCCAGCTGCTACAAGAGGCCATTTGCCTGCTTATGCTGTCCACAGTGAAGTATTCCCAGCTCGTTGTCTGATTGACACAACTTTTCCTTCTCCCCAGTGTGATTATCATCTTTAAAGATCATGTGTATGGCTTGTGCACATGATGGATTTTCACCCTGGCAGGTAGCACCTGGGATTTCCTGCGTGGCTCAGGGCCCAATGTGGTGGGGCACACAGTAAGTGTCACATGCAACTCTGAAGAGTTTCTGTGCTTAAAAAGAGAAGGCAGATAAAGGTTAAAGAGGGGAATGGGTTCCCAAGATCACACAGCAGCAGCTATAAAGTTTCAGTAGAAATGCAGATCTCCCATATTATTGTCCAGACCTCCGCATGCTGGACCATACTGCCTGCTGGTGTCAAAATCCCTGCTACAGACTAGCCCTGCATGCCTAATTTCTCTTCAGATTTTTTTTTAGGGTGTTGTGATTTCAATTTCATACCCATGTTGTTTTTCACTTGATTGATATTCCCGAGAGAGACCTTTGGCTGACCAAGGTGACAAATACTTCTTCAACTGGTTGGGAGGGCTAGAGCCACAGCATTTCAATATGAGCTCTCTGGATTGGAATGCCGGCTCCCTTTTGTGTGGTGCTTGTGAAGCAATTTTAAATCCGAACATTACTTCAGTGAAAATGATTAAAAACACAAACAAAAATGCCATGACAGCATATAGCTGGCAAGAACACTTTGGTCATTAATGTAACAGTGGATTGTCCTTATTCACAGTGAACATCCATTTTTCCAAGAGGCCAGCTGTGTACCTAGAGTTTTTTGACAGTGTTATAACTTACATGGCCAGGAAGTTAGTTCATGGTCAAGGAATTGTGAAAAGCTGGGGCTCCTGGAAATTTGCCACCCACTTGGGATTCTGCAGAGCTTGAACTGCGTGTCCTCAAGTATGAGCCTTTGCTTGTTACCAACACCTAAAAAATGCCATGAAGACCTCTAAAGGTAGAATTTGATCTGAAGGACACAAACTCCAAGACTCCCAGCATGTATGTTAGAGAAGAGAACAGTATATATTTCTTTAGATTTTGCTCAGTTCTCAAAGGCTACCAAACTTTGGGCAAGGAAATGTTCATTTAAAGAGGCCTGAAGGGATCAGTATGATCTCTGGCCCTTCATCTCAACGTTTTTTTTT